CCCCCCGTTCAGTTATAGGCCTAAATAACTGCAGTCGTTCTGCACAAAACACATATCTACCTATTTCCAATATGAAAGTGCTGTCTCCCTGGAATAAAGGAAAGAGCTGAAATTTTAATATTCTACTGGGGTAAAACATGACAACTTTCTCCAAACACTACACGTGTTCAAAATAATAATATTGTGACCAAGCTGTTTTTCCTGCTTATCTATTTTGGGTGAGGTGAGAAAGTGATCGGGGAAAGTCACAGTGATGATTAATAAGATGCACAATAATTGTACCCTAAATGATAGTATTATACTAAAATACGTTTAATTAATTTTCCACACGCATTAGCATTATTGTCATTATCTTCCTTTCGCATCAGCGCTTTTAATTTATTAGGTGCGGTCAGTGAGACCGCTAAGAAAATTCTATGCGCTCGATACTCCTAATATCGAATCCAACAGCCACGAGCGATCCCTTTGCGCATTGCGCGGGAGCTCGTGGGGCCCGTTATCTCTATCTTGAACTTGTCGTTTCCACTTGTTTAGGCCTTGGCAACTCCTGACTTTTAATTTTGATGAAACACCCTTCTTCTGTAGTTGTTATCACTTTTGCGGCATCTTCAATAAGACCATACGGGACTCCTAAATTAATAGGCTACTGCCGCCACCTTGAAAGTTGTGCCTTGCTCTCAGACTCAGAGAAATCTTTTGACATTGACCTTTCTGTGACCCAGATTTGAATGAGGTCACGCGAGACGCGGCCGGCGTCCTGGGACTCTACGTAAACAAACATCCTTGAGAGTGAGACAGACGCCCAGTGCCTCCACTGTTGAAACAAATAACACATGACGCGGAGTACAAGAAGTTGCCATTGCAAACCGACACACAACACAATTATTCTAACTCAATTTAATTACAGAGTGGGACCCCCCCTTTCCCCATCAATCCCATTATAATTATAATTACTAATTAGTAAAAGAGCCAACTCTGGTGAAGAGATCTCACTGATTCACGAAACTGATGAGTACAAACACACCCACTGCTGGACAATTTATGGCCAATAACTGGTTATGTGTCCGAGTTTTAATAAATGTATAGGCATACAGTATTTTTAGCCCCAACCCTTAAATTTTCTATCCCTGAATAATCAGAAAAACAGCAACAACAGAACAAAACGAATACCACCACCCCCCCTTCCCCGCCAAAAAACTCAACACATGTGTTAAGGAATAAAAAACACATAAAATGATATATATAGATTCTTTATCAAATTAAAATATCTAGAGTTTAACAAAATACTGAGTTATATCAAGATCAAGTCATTTAAATTGTTTAATATAAATTTTGCATTCCAATGGCGGATACAATGAGATATATTATGCTCATCATGATATAAAGCTTCTCATCGTGGTTTATTTTGACAGGTAGCAAAAGCCATTTAAATAATGGACTCCCATTATATTCTTATGTATTCTGACAATTGTGGGAAAAGAATAGCTTGACGATTAAGTGACACATGAACATAAAGTGTAAATTACAGTAGCAAACACTATAATATTATATATATTTAATATATATATATTTATTTATACAGTATATTATTATATGTGTGTGTGTGTGACTGTGAGTATGTATGGGTGTGTATGTATACAGACTGGCATGCGAATTGTGGAATTGGCAGGATACAGTCAAACCTGTGTAAGACGGCCACCCATTGTCAAGGAGGAGAAAAGTGGCCGTATAAGACAGGTGGCCGTATAAGACAGGTGGCCGTCTTAGGCAAGACTGATCAAGAGGAAGAAATCAAACCATTCCCATCTGAGGTCCCAATCGAAAGTAGCCAGTAGCCGCATTGTTGTTGTTGTTTTTTGCTACTGTTGTTGTTGCTGGTTTGTATTTTGTTGGTAATTTTTATTTTGTTGCTGATTTTGTGCAAGGGTGACAATAAAACAAAATGTATCAGATGAAGAAGACCGATTGTCATGTCAAAACCAACACATGGGTCCCCACCACTCGGAGAACGAGCGATGCTTCTGTCACATGTTCATGTTGACGTCATCTCTCATAATCATAATCATCTGAGTTAGAGTTTGAGCAAGTTTAAGTCGAAAGACGCTTGGATGACAATAACAAGACGGTGCAACTCGAACTTTAAGTTAGGCCTAGAGAGCGTATACAAGCTGTCTACTGTCTACGTTCTCTAAGTCTAATGTTCAGTGCTTCCAAGCGTGGCATCAAATCCCGGTCCCAAAAGGTTTTTTTTTCTCCCTTCGCCAGAGCCTAAAATTTTTAAAAAATTAAAAAATTAGACTCACGGACCAAGGAAAGCCACTACTGAACTTTAACCAGGCCTAAATTGGTAAAATTTAAGGAAAAGTATATAGGCTATACTAAAAGGCCTATTTTATACCTGTACAGAGCTCTTCTTGGGGACAAAACCAGAATGTGCATGCTTCATCACTACATAAAAAAACTACAAGAAAGCAACAAGATATAGATCTAGAGATCTAGATCTAGTAATCTAGTTATAATGGGAACAACAATTTGTTGGTCAGTCGAAAAGAGGACAACAACAACAACAACAACAAAAAAAAAAACAAGGAAAAAAACCCCCTCCAGGACCGGGATCGAACCCACGCTAAAAAATAATGGTTTGACTTCAAGCGCAGACGGGCTGTCACTTCGGCCATCAGAACTTCCGATAACGATGTGCTGATTAAGCTTGATATTTTACACACGGCGACACGGCGTTTTATTTGCACTGGCGCTAATCGCAACGCGGCGTTTTATTTACTATATTTAGTACCTGCGGCACTAATCGCAACGCGGCGTTGCAAATTGGCACTTCCAATTTTTAATAATAAAAGAGAGATCCTGTCGAAAGTAAAGTCCTTTCTTTACTAGAATCTAGATCTAGATCTAGATCTAGATATAGATTTAGATTCTAGATCTAAGCAAAATTCAGCCCTACATAGATTTAGATCTAGATCTTTAAATAGCGAAACCTTGGAGTAACTATTAATAGATCTAGATCTAGATCTAGATCTAGATTCTTAATTCTAGATCTAGATCTAGTTGGGCTAGGCTACTCCAAGAGCGAAACAGTAAACACAGGAGTAGGCGCCCTGCGGCTATCTCTACAGTACAGGTCTTACTGTACTGTAACAGAGAAAGACTGAAAGATCTAGATCTAGATTTAGATCTAGATTCTAGATCTAGATATATAGATCTGGACACATATGAAATATCAAAGTTTTTCCTACATTTATATTTGACTTACAATCAAGTGCATAGTCCGAATGCTCGCTGCCGTCCATGGCAACAATGCAGTTTCTGGTTTCCGAATGAGACTCTGTGGCCATTCTGTCGCTCTGCTAACTCTGCTACCAGTGCAAATAAAATAAAAAGAAGAAAAGACGTTTGATAAAATCTCAAATATGAGCAAGTAAATTTAAAGCAAACAACCGGGTCTTGAACTATACGATCTAGAATAAAGTCACAGATCTAGAGTCACTTATAAACACCGCACACACACAAATCTGTCCGACTGCCTGGATCAACTGCCGACACACTCCTGACTGAAATGTTGGGCACTGAGCGTCACTGAGCGAGCACTGAGCACAGATAACGCAAGTTGGACAAGTGAAAAGAGATATCGATATCTTGTTTCCAATACCAGTATCGAGTTGACAAACGGGTGTACTGCAAGATGGTTCACCCCTCTATTTCAAGAGAGAAATAAAGAGCGTCCTCAAAGCGCCGATGGTGTCACGGTCTCACTGTCACTTACGATACAATGTATTGCCAGAGACCTAGATCTAGCAACGTTAACATTGCTAGGTCTCTGGTATTACTATCTTTTGAGAACTCTGGTGACAGAAGGTTGCATTGAGTTGAGGTACAACATGGGGGGATAAAATGTCAATTACTGTTCACATACGCTACCAAATTAAGGGAGTAGCAAAAAGAGATAAGTTTAACACCGTACACCGGTAAAAAATACTGATGATGCCAAAGGAAAAGAAAATGAAAAAGGTTCTTTCATTTTGAGTGAAGAAAAGTACATGTACGTTGAAACACAAAAATAGCCTTTTAGACTTGGCAGATAGACAGGAAGAAAAGAGAGGGAAAGAATCGTAGGACCTATAGGGGTGCTCCCCAATCACTCACGACGAAAAGGGAATTATGAACTGAATTCATAAATAACTCGCCAGTAATATAAACAGTTTACCAGCAATTTAATTAATATAAATTCCACACAGTAAATAATTGTATCACGACACGCTGGAATCTGGCGTTCGTCAATTTTTCGGCATGTGGAGTTATTGGTGTCTTAAAGCAGCATTTTGCCTTGCTTTTAATGAAAAAAGTACCCATCTAACTTGAAGTAGATATTTGCGATTGAAGTAGGGGAGGGACACTTTAGTTTAGTTTAGTGCGAGTTTCCCGGCGCTCGCAACTGCATAGGTCATATTTGCGCGCGAAACAAGTTGGTTTTATTCGCAACAATTCAAGGAACGGCCTGATTTTGGTAAATATTTATATTTAAATGTTAAAATGCAAAAAAAAAAAAAAATTAAAAATCGAGATAAAAATTCTTAGGTTAAAATAACTTTTAAAATAACATGTAAAACTTTAACAACGTTATTCAAAATATTCTGGTTTCAGAGATAAAATTAGAGAGAAAATGGCTGCCAAAGTTTGGAGACTTCCTTAGCTTGAGAGTCAATGGAAACCGACGATTTACATTTTGTTTGCCTTTAATCAATGTTTTTCAGTAAAAGTCACACAAAAACGTGATTTTAAATGGACATCTAAAATGTGTTGTGCCCCCCCCCCCCAAAAAAAAAATAACCTTCCAACATTCGATAAAAATTTCCAAATGGATGGGAAATGCCGGTTATTTAATTTCATTATCTTGACGAGCGCCTGATTTCACTACGATACCTCACAATTTAATATTATTTTTCAGCTTCTTACATGGCAGAAAAGTTGTTGGTTTTTATTTTGTTCAGACAAACCAATTTTGCACAAAGTCAGATAAGCTGACAAACCAAATAGCGTTACATATTGACAGTCTTATTTATACACTTAATCATGCCACATTCACTAGTCATGGAAACTTTTCCATCAAACAAACTAAACATGTGGGGTCAACAACGAGGAGTCAGAAGTGAGTCAAGTAAGTCAACAACGAGAGTCTTAAAGTCCTAACAATGTAAGGTCGGAGCCAAGTCAAGATATGAGTCATAAGGATAAACAGTACAGCGTGGGATCGGAGACTAAAGGTAAAGTCCCAAAGGGTAAAAAACGAGAGTGACGGAGCTAAGTCAAGATACGCGAGTCGGGTCGGAGAAAAGTAAAAGTTCTAAAGGGTCGGTCAACACCATAGAGTTGGACTAAAGGGACAATTCTAAAGGGGTCAGAGCAAAGTTAAGATATGAGTTCCTATACTTAAAGGGTCAACAACATGGGGTTGGAATAAAGGTAAAGTGCTGAAACTGTCAACAACGAGGGATTGGAGCTAAGTCAAGATCTGAGACCAAAAGGATAAAAAAAAACGAGGGGTCGGACAACGAGAGGTTGGGGCTAAGGCAAGATGCAAGTCCTAAACTGCCAAAAGCGAGGGGTCCGAGTAAAGGAAACGTTTTAAAGGATAAAACAGTGAGGAGTCAGATTTAAGTCAAGATACAAGTTCCAAAGAGTCTACGACATGAGTTCGGACCAAAGGTTAAGTGCTATAGGGTTAACGTACGATGGGGTGGAGCTAAGTCGATAATATGTGTCCAAAAGGGTCTCAAAGGGTCACCTATCTCCCTATCCACCTATCTGTCTATCTCCACATCCCCATTGTGCCACTTTAAACCTTAGTGGGACATGCGGAAAATCGAATTAGCAGAACGCTATGAGACATATTTGACCGGAAAAGTGGATAGACCCTTTGAGTCTGATGTCACCAAACTTTGTATTGGAAGTAAGGAATAAACAGATTTATCATCTTTCTATATCAGTGACATTGTACCTAAGAGGATTATGACAAAATCTCCCGTTAGACATCACACATGGAATGTTTTCTTGAGTCTTTATGAGATTATACGGTACTATCAACACATTTCATCATAAGAGAAATAAAACTGCCAAGTCAGCTGTTCAAGTTGCCTGTGGTAAGCTGGTGGAACTGACAAGTCCATTCAAGAGTAGCTGCATGCTGGTATTCTTGATGCCAGACAAATATCTGTTAGCTCTTGTCTGACTGATTGAAAACTTGTTCCACAGCGCATTTGCCAGAATTAGGTCATGTTAGCCTAGCGTTCTCATTGGCTGACTGTCGTGCACAGAAGAGGGATGTGACCATCCACGGTGAGAGGAAGGCCATTGCCGTCTGGTCTTTCTTGGGCAGCTGTTAACTGTTGGCTTGGCAGCTTTCTAACAAAAATGAATAAGTTAGCTTGAGTCACTAAATTTGAGTCACTAAAGACAAGCGTAATTGATGCAAAAATGGTGAGTTACTGTATGAAAACCACAAAGCTAAAGATAAAAGGAAAAAAAAACCCCCAACAGAACCTGCTATTGGCACCATCCACACACTCACAGTAAGAAATGGCGGTAGGCCCTATGTTTTTGATTGAGTATATTATGCGTTATGGTGCTACCAAAACAATTTGTTAAAGTAATTGTCATTTACAGATTTCCGTAACATCTGCCTCTCTAAGCGTTGAATAAAAGGACGGACCTGTCAGTAAATATGTTTAAAACTTTCCCTTTTTTAGAATTATAATACAATAATATACATTTCTTGCAAATTTAGAATTTCTATAACGATTCCTTGACTAAAACAAGGATCTTTCTTTGGTCAAAACTAAAAAAGACATTCATGTTGAAGCTTTTAACATAATAATATACGTAACCAGATTTTATATTCGACACATACATTAAAGAAAAGCCCTTACAGGAAAAATGTTGTGTGCCATGCAGTCAAAAGCATTGTAGAATTGTTTTTTCGCGGAGACGTTTATACTTCACATTGTGTCCAATTTTTAATCTTATAAAAATTCCAGCTTTCTCAACTTTTCTTATGAAAGAAAAACGCACGCAACTGATGGAAGGAGAAGTAAAACCTTTCAACCGATATATTGTAAACTGCTTTAGTTACTTTAATCAAAAGCAAAGTTCATGCTTTATGTTTATTTTCAGAACTAAAGGCATCATCAGGGGCAACTTTTTAGAAACACCTAAATGAAAAATATGAAAATTTTAAGTTGAACTCAGACCCACTACTAGAAATAGTTCTAATTTTAAACTATTCATGTGTTAAATAATGTCTCAGTGAGCAGTATTGAAAGACATTTATTATTTTAAAGACAAGTGCCTTCTGGGACTGATCATCATTCATCATTTCTCAAAGCAGTCGATATTAATGATCCTCTCAGAGTGTCCTCCGGTCCTGTTGATGATCCTGCAGGCGGCCCTCCAGTCCTGTAGACGATCCTGTAGATAGTCCCTGGTCCTGTTCTCCTGGTGATGAAGACATGTGTCGACAAAGAACATCCTCTAACATTAATACGATTTGCTTTTCCAGAATTGTTCAAAGACACTGGCACAGTTAGAAGGCGCTTTGTCGACGAAAATACGACGTGACGTTCTAGCACGTGCGTGATGTAGTCATCTAATAGCTAAACGAAGCCTTCCCTTGATTGTCAAAAGTTGGGTTTTGTTTATGGAAAGCACTATAGAATTGTTCCAACTGTCACTGGGAATAGGCCCAGAAACTATTCACAGAGACCCTGAGAACAGACAGGCCCATTAGATCTATTGTTCTTACACTGATCTACTTGGGCATGATGATGATGGGTTACTAAATACTAGACTATATTTACATCTAATTTAGATCTAGATTGTAGATCTAACTAAACTAAAGTAGATTCTGGTGTGAGTGGAATTTAAGACTTTAAAAAAAAAAGAAAAAGGAATGATCATTCTGTTTGCTTGTTAGTCAGTCGTAATTTATATGTACGTGTAGATCTAGATCTACATACGGATTTTGGAGACCACGGTACAGGACAGATAGAAATCCTTCCCGATTCTTCTTTCTTAAACTAGATCTAGATCTAGATCTAGATTTCTATTCTACGGTCAAGTCTAAGCCCTAAGTAAGAGAAGAGAACAAAAGTACTGAACTGAAGTGAGAAGATAGGCCTAGTCTTTCAAGGCTACAGTGCAAAGCCTGATTTTTTTTATGCGAAAGAGTTTCCTTGTCACTGGGAATAGTTTCTGTACCTATCCCCAGTGTCACTGGGAATAGTCACTTCATTTGTTTATTCCAGCCAGGCCACTCCAAACCCAGGGCTGTCGAGAGCCTGGTCGGGCCCTGGGGCAGCAATCAACTTCGGGCCCCTCCTCCGCCCCCCCCGGCCCCACCCACCCTCACCTGCAATTTAATAACCCAACAAATACAATTTACATAGGCATATACAATCACTTTACTGTAGCATATCTATTACATACCAACATACGCTCTCTCTCTCTCTCTCTTTC